TGGCTTATTGTCAGCTCTCCAGATATTGGAGGATCACATGTCTGATCTGCTGACAGTAAGTAACTGCAGCAGTATCGACATTAAATACGATTGTTTAAGCATGTTTTTTTGTTAGAGCACTGACTTCAGTTCAGGAGATAAAACAAACGTATGACCCTTCATACCTTCTTGAGTCTGAAGGTGCAGACATAAATTACATTTGTCTCCACACCTATGAGTTCACTTCTGCTCCACCTTTGGCGTACTGTGTATGTAGCTGTCTCTATCCACATACATAAAACATAATTCAGCGGGATGGCGATGTTCATCTGAGCCACTGTATTCAAGAGGGTGGGGTAACATGGTTAACTTCCATAGTTTAGTGCCCGCTTCTATGTATTTTTAATGGATTACGTTTATGAGAACGCATCAGTTTGTTGGAAAACGTACTTACACACTAATCAATATTTATAAGTATGTTGTTGAGTATAATATTCTGTTTTTCTGTTCAACAAACTCAAAAAACAACTTCACTGTACCTTTAAGAATTCAGATAAATCTTTTTAAAAGGTAATACAAAGCTAACTGTCATCAATAGCTAGTGGGTTCCAGAGCACGTTTAAGCAAATGCAATCCCTCTGTTCTTCCCACAAAGACTTGCATGTGAATCTGCATATTCATATGGAGTAAGCCTAAAATCTTAAAGAGTGTAAGGCTAAACAATGAAAGAAAGAAAGAAAAAAGAATTCAAAAGTCATTGCACCATACATTGGTCTCATCCATTTTTTAAGTCGCCCTATTTTTTTAAATCTTTTTATGTATAAATGACTGTATTCGTTCATATCCGTATTCTACAGTTATAGGTGCTACTAAACTACATATAAAATGTATCGATTCAGTTTTATTGTTACACTGAAAGCCAAAAACACATTTAAAAAAATCATATCAGCTGCAGGCAGCATTCTGTCATCATCATTTTGTCAGAGTTATAATCCATCTTTGAACGCCCAGCGGTGACTCACCAATGATATAGCAGCGGTCATCAGCAATGAGGGTCTTGCTGTGAACATAGATGAGCTCTGTGACAGGTGACTCGGAGAGCTGGGCATGCGTCCTCAATCCGCACAGTGTGATGTACTCTGTCCACTGATCCTTCACTGCAGGCCAGAGCAGAATCACATTATTTACATGAGATGATGTGAAATGAAGACCAGTAGACTCGATTTATAGGAACAACTCAAGGAGAAGGAAAGATGCATGTTAGCGAGGCAGCAAAGGCTGATGTCAGGCTGATTTCTGAGGTCTAACAAAGCAGGTAAGTGACAAAAAAAACTTACATTCGCTTAGTCTCAACAGGATGGAGAACTCCCCTCGGCACATGGTCCTAGGATGACAGAATAAAACCTTACATTAAGAAAGCCAGCCAGCATAAGGGGAAATAATTTAGGAATCTCACAAAATAAACCAAAAATATCTAGAGCATATACAGAGAGTACACTTCTGGGCATAACATCAAAGGCAGATTTGGAAATGTGATAGATGATAGTGAAACCATAACATGGCCATGCTGCATTCTGGCAATAACAACATGCTGACAAAGCTGATTAAGCAACATCACTCAATGTAATATGTAATATGACTGGATATGTTCTATT